CTTTCGAAATTCGCTTTATCTTAGATCATGCAAATTTATATACCTTTTCTATTTTAATTCAAAGATTTATTCACCTATACGTTTATTTTTATTCATGGTGACTTAGTAATTCAAAAAGTTTTGTCAAAAAGAAGGCTGCTTTGACATTATTACGGTTATATAGGAAACATCCTGATGTAATTCCTGCATCGGATTGGGCGGAGAGAATAATTGTGTTGATGGATGATACAGATCTGGTAATTTGTTTATATTAAAACAAAAATTTGTAGTTTAATAGTATATTTATGAAAAATTTTATTTATTATTAGGGAGTTACATTATGTGTGACTAGTTTGATAATGGCTTTAGCACAAGATAATTTAGAATCGTATTTAGGTTGTTATACCAAAACGGTTGATCGATTAGCAAAGGTATGAAATAGTTTTTCGAAAGATTTTTATATTATATAGTTGCTCTAATTTTCTATATTTTTCTTATAGATAATTGTTGAGAGAGATTTTCCTCTTGAATATGTATATTATAAAGTCCCCATACCTTGGTTACAAGTCAAGCTACTACGATTATTACAATATTATCCAGCTTCCGGTAATGTTAGATCCTTGCACTCTGTCATTTTTCAATTTATTCACTTTTTTTTCTTTATTTCTAACTCTTCTTCCAGATGATCGTAAGGTTCGAAACAAATTGCATGATGTATTACAAACAATCCTTAATAACTCACAAGATGCTCCTAAAAATGTGCAGCACAATAACGCACAAAATTCCGTATTATTTGAAGCTATCAATCTTGCTATTCATTTAGATTGTGAATCACAAATTGTTAATCAAGCCGCTTTACTTTTGGGACGTTTTATAACTTCGAAAGAAACAAATGTACGATATTTGGGATTAGAAACTATGTCTCATTTAGCAGCTTGTGTTGATTCATTGGAACCAATCAAAAAACATCAGGACACTATATTATTATCCTTGAGGGACAAGGATATTAGTGTTCGCCGTAGAGGATTGGATCTCTTATACAGTATGTGTGATGTCAAAAATGCAAAAGTGATAGTGACTGAATTGCTTCGATATCTAAATATTGCAGATTATGCTCTTCGGGAGGAAATGGTGTTGAAAATTGCAATTCTAACGGAGAGATTTGCTACAGAAAACCAGTGGTATGTG